ATATATATATATATACTTTTTTGGGTCTTTTTGAGATAGAGTCTCCCTATAGCCTCAGCTGACCTGGAACTCACTATGTAGACTAGGCTGGCCTTGAACTCACAGACATAGCCTGCTTCCCGAGTGCTGGGATTAAAGGCATGCACCACCACCAGCTCTTACTCCTTTATAATTTTTAAAATAACTCCTCACCACTGGTTTAAGACTGAGCATACCTGTAGAATATGGTTTTATATGTAGAATCTGTCAAGGAAAGCAGGAACACTGCTACTTGTTTGTGGCCATAGGGCCCTAATACAAATAGGCTGTTGAAGTACGCTTGGTTTTATGGACACTTTAAAATGGCATGTCTGCTGTTGTTATAGCTGATGTGACTAGAGAAAGTAGAAGGTATGTTTGATGGTGAAATTAGTTATGACCAGACATAGTGATTTCATTAAATCTATCCAGTGACTACCTGTTGCTGTAAATTGGATTTCTTCTGTATAATATCAACTAAATTCACATTGAGTTTTGATAGCGTGCTTGCTTGTGGTGCTATGTTTTATTTGCTTGTTGAGGTCCAAACAATTGCTTATTGAGTGGTAGATTTTTGTAAAATGCATTTCTTTAACTGTCCTTCATTTTTTTTGCCTTTCAGGGCTTATCACAATGGCTATACTTAGAACATGAACAAAGATTAAAACTGACTTCTGAAGTATAAATTTATCTTGAAAATATGAATGTGGACTGCCTTTTATCTCTATTTCACTCCATTTAACACACTACAAATTATTGAATGATTTCAAATAACTGCAAATGTATAATATATATTTTCAATTAGTCTATAATTTTATTTGAGGGACTCTAGCACTTTATGTTATAGACAACAAGGATACTTCTGAGTGATACCTAAGAAATTTTTTAAGAAAGTCTTTTAAAATCTATACCTATTGTGCAAATAACTTTAAAAAGGTAATTTTCTCATCTTTTTTTTTCTAATTCACTTTGATAAGGGTCATGGATCCTTCAAAGTTAAAGGCCTAAATGAGCAAACTGGCTAGCCAGAAAATAAAACTGCACCTATTTCTTAGATATAAGCATCAACATTACTATGTAAATTATAGACTGCCCTCTATCATTGCAAATAGTTGCTATAGTGTTTCAAAACAAGCATTTTGCAGTCACTGTGTGTAGGGTTGAAAAAGCATAAGGTACTTACCAAGGGATCATGCTTAACCTAGAGTCTCATAGAAAACAGGATGTATTATACTCATCTTGTGAACTACAGAATAGATTGTGGTCCAGACACCAGGTACCTCATAGAAGCAGATTGACTTCTTTGTTTAGCCTGAGAGTTCTAAAGGAAAGTTAGGCATCTGTTTAATTGCTTGGTTCATCCTGGCTTTACCTCTTGTTAATCTTTTATGTTACTAAGGGGAGAACCATGTTGTTTTCCTCCCAAGCCCCTGGCCCCAATTAGGAGTATCAGATACCAGGTAGTTTCTGAGGAGGTTTTTTTTTTTTTCATCTTTAAACTCTAAACCAAGTCTAGAAAACCCTTGATACCTGTGTCTATTTTATATCAGTCACTGAGATATTTTTTAAGCTTTTATTTATTAAAATAAATTTACCAAAAAAGTCCCCTAAGCACAACTATTTACATTACTTTATAGTGTTTTCTGATCTCTAACATATACGCAGTGTTAACTGTTCTTGTTAGAGAAGTTGATCTTTTGTCTTAGGATTTTTATCTGAAAGCACAATGCATTGAGTCTCTTGAAAATCATCTTTCAGCTGTTTTATGGAATAAACTTTATGCACTGCTACTGTAGCATTCTCACGGTATGTATGTAAACAAATGTATGCCTGAAGTTGATTTTTGCAGGAAACATTACTCTGCTTCTAGAAGCTTTTTGTCTAATATTTCATAAGAAATCATTGTTTAACCATTTGTGTAGCATAAATCATTCAGTGAATCATGTCTGTACATTGTATAATGACTGAAAAGCACATAAATGTAATCAACTTTGAACTCATTAAAAAACCATGTTTGGGAGGTGCTCTCTAGTTTCTGTTCATTTCGTGATTCCTCTGTGTGTGTGTGTGTGTGTACAAGCACACGCATGCATACGTAGGTAAGACACCAGTCTCCCTGATTTAAACATTGGTTTACCTCTAAGGAACACCAAAGTATTAGCTGTTTTATTCAAGTTGGTTTGTGGACTTCTGTGAGTTAAATAGGGAAAATAATAATAGTGAAATAGCTGGAGTTGCAACACAGCACTAGAGCTCTTGCCTAGCATGTATAAGGCCCTGAGTTCAGTCCCCAGTACCACACAAAGAGAAAAAGAAAAAAAATGCTGAATTATATAAGATAGAAATGTCATGAGTTTCTTAATGTTCCAAGGGAGTTAATCTTTTTCTAAAATTTATTTTTATTCATCTGGTGTATGTGTGTGTGTGTGTGTGTGTGTGTGTGTGTGTGTGTATGCCATGTGTGTGTGGGTATCCTTGGAGGCCAGAAGAGGGTGCTGGATCTCCTGGAGCTGGAGTTACAGGTGGTTGTGAGCCACCCAATATGAGTGTTGGAAACCAAAGAACAGCAAGAGCTCTTAACCCCAGAGCTACCTCTCCAGTCTCTGAATTCTTTATTATTTGCTTGCTTGTTTTTGAGACATGCTCTCATTTCAGCTGAAGTTAAGCCCCTCAAGTGCTGAGATTATACATGTGAACTGCCACATCCAGCTAGGCTACTTCTTTCCACTTTCTACTTCATTTCCTTTTTAATTTTTTAAAATATATATATTTAAATTTTTTATGTGTATGTATGAGTGCATTGCCTGCATGTATGTAAGTGCATCCAAGTCATGCAGTCCCCACAGAAGTCAGAAGGGGGTGAACTGGAGTTATCAATGGTTGTTAGCCACCATGTGGGCGCTGGGAACTGAACCCAGGTCCTCTGCAAGAGCAGACAGTGCTCTTAACCACTGAGCCATCTCTCCAGCCCATATATATATATATGGTGTTTTTTGGGGGGTGGATCTTTTGGAGACAGGGTCTCCCTGTAGTCCCAGCTGGCCTGGAACTTGCTATTAGACCAGTCTCTCCAGGAACTTACAGAGATCTGCCTGCCCCTGCCTCCCCAGTGCTGGGATTAAAGGCGTGTGCTACCACACCTGGCCCATTTTTAATTTTTTTTAAGGCAAGGTTTCCTTATGAAGTTCAGGCTTGCCTCAAACTGAGTATGTAGCTGAGGGTGACCTAAACTCCTGCCTCTATGTCTCAAGTATTAGGATTATAGACCTGTGCCCCTACACCTGGTTCAATTGACTTAATTTTTTGTATAGTTTAGCGGTCATGCTTCGAAAACTAAATCCTAGCCATGCATGCTGTCATGCGCCCATAATCCCAGCACATGGGAGTTTGAAGTGAGAGGATCAGAGGTTTAAATCCAACCTGGGCTGTATAGTGAGACCTTGTCTCAAGAATAAACAACAGGGACTGAAGAGATGATTCCATGATTAAGAGTGCTTACTGCTCTTCCAGAGGACCTGAGTTCCGTTTGGTTCCCAGAACCCAAGTTGGATGGCTCTTAATTGCCTATCATTCCAGCTCCAGGGGCTCTGACCCCTTCTGGCTTTCACAGTGAGAGAGAGAGAACCACCCCTGGTTCTTACAATCTTTCCACCCCCAAATAGTTACAGTTTACATTTACGAGACAAGAATTTTTGTAAATAACACATTTTCAAGAGAGAGAGAGAGAGAGAGAGAGAGAGAGAGAGAGAGAGAGAATATTCATACAAACGCATAAATAAAAATAATACATTTTTTAAAAAGAATAAAAACCACATTAAAAATTGTTAGAAAGCTCACAGTGAAAATATCACACCTCATTATCCCTGCCCACTCATCCTACCCAAGTGACTATTTTCATTAATTTAAATATACTCCCAGTGTTCTTTTATACAAAACAAGAATTGTGAGTGGTCAGAGTACTGGGAGCTGAGCAGGTTCTACATGTTGAATTTGGTTAATATACAGAGAGAAGTTGAGTTTCCAAGAAAAGTCAAGAGTTCTTTTGAAACAATATCTAGGGAGATACTTGAGACTGATGTGCATGCTATTATTTCCAGTCTACTAGGAAGAAAACTTCACTGTGGGTGACTTAAGAGTATAAACAGACTAATGAGGAAAGGACCCAGCTAGCTAAGGGGCCATACATGTTACAAAGTTCAATCAAGGAAGAGGCAATGGAATAGTTGTCATTGTGAAAACAAACATGATTCATCCTGAAAGCATTTACCAAACAGGAAACTTGCAGCAAGATACAGGGCAATGGTTGTAATTATCTGTCACTGCAGGTGTTTTTTTGCCACCTCAAAGTCGTTAGGCCAGCATATTTCTGTCATCTGAGTTTACTTCAAAAGGAGCTGTGCTAGGTCAGCTTGTAAAGTTGGAGGTTTCTAGAGAGATTCTGGAAACAAGTTCTAGGTAATTTTCCTTTAACCAAACAATTAAGTGGGAAAATTATAGCAGCTGCTGAGGAGATACCTACAGGATCTCTGCATACACATGGAAATACACACTGAGGTTTCAAAACTGCTATTATGCAAAAGACTAAAGACTGAAACTGGTGCCAAATGCCCTGACATTTAGAGAAAGCATGTCTAAAAAGAACGATTTAGAACCAAAGGAAGTTGGGGGCGGCACTGGAACTGTGTGGCTGTGAAAGAAGATGCAAAATGGAGGAAACAGAGCCTCTCTGTATAAACCCAGCAGCAGAATGTCAAGTTAGGGATTAGGGATTATTGAATTAGGAAAATATTTGCCACACCTGTAGTCTGGAAATGATAAACAACACATCAGAGTAGAGCATTAGTCTCCAGGATTGAGTACTAAACTGAGTAGCAAAGTAGACCCACCTATAGGATATTAAGATCGGACTTTGTCCAGTTACCACATCAAAGACCCTTTAAGGAAGTCATAGGCAGGGAAAGAGGAATGAGCAACACTGGTTTGGGTGGCTTCATACGCCCAAGGTACAAAAATGTGAACAGGCTACACTCAGTTTGGCTGTTTCCTTCATTCTGTTCATTTAGTGTTTGTCTGATTTGCTGATCACCTGGTTAGTCAAAAGATCTTCAACAAATTAAAGAGACACCTACTCTGAGCTAACAGCTTTATCACCCAATAAAAGCCACCCGGTTGAAGGGAGGTGACAGGGGAATGTCCAGCTCACTAAATATATTTTCTAATTAGCTGGACGATTGCTTTGTGAATCACTGACTTAATGAACATATGAAGTGGTAATTTAGGATGTGACCAAGGTAAATGGGGGACAGGCTTGTTTCAATAAAATGAAAATAATAAATTATTTCTTGAGGATGTAGGCAGATTTTAGTCCACCAAGGTAGAGAAAAACAGTGCAAAATCTGTCTTTACTAAACAGTGTGCTAATTTGAAGAAAAATGTGTGAAACCTCAAGTTGGACGGTAGAAGACAAACTAGGTGCACACTGGTGCGGATGAAATTCCACAGTAAATTACCTTTGTACAATTATAAGTCTTGTAAAGCAAGGTTAGGAATGAACTTATTTGAGTATTTAAACAAAAGCTTTCTCAGAGATTTGGAGCCAAGTGTAGCAGCACCCCAGTACACGTAAGTAAGAGTGGGGTGGAAGCAAGAAAATCAGGAATTCTAGAGTTCAAGGACACCCTTGGCTACATAGTAAATTCAAGGCCAGTTGGGTTACATAAGACTTCTGTCTCAAAAAAAATCAAACCAAACAACAAAACACTTTTTGTTTTGTTTTGTTTAAGTTAATTACTGTACTGGGTAACCTGAATTTTCAGCTGTTCTCAAGCTGTGAGGAAACAGGTGTTTTATGTTTGTTTGTGGTTTTTTTTTTCTTAAGTAGACTTTATTTTGTAGAGCACTTTGGGTTTACAGCAAAATTGTGCAGAAAGCACGGCATTCCCATCACACACATGTACAGTTTCTCCCACTGTCAGCATTCTGCACCACTGGGGCACATTTGTTACAATCCAGGAACCCACAGAAATGCATCTTTATATCCCCCCACAGTGTTCTCTATCAGTGTGGCACATTATAGTCACATGTATCTGTTAGTATCACACACAGTGATTTTACTGCCCCAAGAATCCTTTCTTGGGTTTTTCTTTTTATATCATTCATCCATCCATTCACCATCCATTCATTCATCCAGGGTTTTTTTTTTATGTGTACGTGTGTGTGTGTGTGTGTGTGTGTGTGTGTGTGTGTGTGTGTGTGTGCCACATGTGTGAAGATACCTGCAGAAGCCAGAAGAAGGCATTAGATCCTCTGGAGCTGGAGTTATAGGCAGTTATCAGCTGCTGGACATGGGGGTGCTGGGAACGGAACTCAGGTATTCTGGAGGAATAACAAGTGCTTTTAACCACTGAGTCATCTCTCTCACCCCCATCTAGCAATTTTAAAATCAGTGTCTTCTCTGTATTCCTGGCTGGCCTTGAAATCACATCAATCTTCCTGCTCACTCTCTAAAGTGCTGGGATTGCATGAATGAGCCAATATACTTGGCTTAGGTTATTTATTTTTTGTATTTTATGTGTATGAGTGTTTTGTCTGCATATATGAAAGTGCATGAAGTCATCAGATCCCCTGGAACTGGAGTTATGGATGATTGTTAGCTGCCATGTTGGTGCTGGGAATCAAACCCAGGTCATCTGCAAGAGCAGTCAGTGCTGTTGACTGTTGAGTCATTTCTCCAGCCCCCTGTGCTAGGGTTCTTTGCAAATGCTATCAGGAGCCTTTCTTGAGCCGGGAGTGCTTGTGCATACCTGTAATCCCAGGTCCTTGGAAGGTCCTCCTGGTCAGGAGAACATATTTTAGAGTCTGCTGCCAGCCTGGGCTATGAGAGACCCTATCTCCAAAGCAGCAAATAAGTAAGCAAACAAAGAAGACTCTTGTTATTCAAAGTGTGATTCCTGAAGCACAGACCTTGCCTAGGATCTTAATAGCAATGGAGACCCTTGGGCTGCACCTTAGACCAACTTG